AGTGTCCTTTTATAGGGTCGATACTAGAGGGAGTGAAGCCAAAGGATTTCTAGAAAGAAACTGGAAAATGGCTCTAAAGATTGTTATATGTTATTGTATAATTTCTTAATTATAAAAGTTTCTAAATACACCCTTAAAATACATAATTTCAGTACACATTATCATCATCCTTTTCGACAAATCTTTATTACATGCCTACAATATAGAAGTCACTGTGCTGACTGTAGTTCAGTGTCTCTTTTTTCCCATGATGGAGTGGAAAAAGCAGAGTCTTTAGAGTCAGAAGAATCTGGGCTTGGATTTCAATTTTGCAACTTACTGCCTTTACTACCTTGGTGCTATTATCCAATTTCTCTTAAGTTTACTATCCTTATCTGTAAAATATCAACTTCAAAGAGAAATCATTTCTATTGAAGAAAACATACGGAATTTTTCTAGTACAAAAGCAGGTACATATTAAGCACTTAATAATAATATTGGATACTCTATATTATAATCTACAAGGCCTATTAGTGCAAAGGGCTGTTCAGTACTTAATTATAATATTGAGAATTTATCCCTAGTTTATCCTTTAGGAAACTGAGACACCAACAGGCTAAGTAAGTTTCATAAGGACACAAAGCCAATAAGTTTTGAGGCAGCTATTCAATGAACACATATTTTAGGCTTAGAAGCTGGTGCTCTTTCTACTATACCACGCTGTCTCATATGAAACAAATTAAGGCTATTGAAAATGCTTATTAACATATGTACCTATTATTAAAATCCATAGTTTTCAAAACTCAGGCTCTCAGAGTGTCTATCAAGCCTTGTCCACGTGCACTGTATTTGCCCCTTCTTCACTTTTTTTAGCATCGAATCCATTGGCTGGGGTTGGAGGGGGGAAGTTGTTATTAATAAGTTAAGAGATATATCAGTAAATTTGCTTGGAAGTCTCAAAAATTATGAAAAGCCTTTGCAAGAAAGGGGGGCATTTCAAATTTATTTTAGATATATACAAGCTACTTTTCACCAATTTCTATTATTTTATTTATTTTTACTAATCAATACACCTTTGTTGACGTCTGTGTTCCAAAGGATGTACTTTGTACTAAGAATCTGTACTTTAAGGATGCTGTCTACTAAAAAAGAAAGGTATCAACAAACAATTGCTATGCAGTGAGTTAAGTACATTATAAATGATATAAAGCTTGTAGAAAGAACAAACTTGGAAAATTATTTTACTAATATTTGAGCCAGTTTTTATGTATTGCAGTAAAGCAGACATTTAGCCAAAGACTTTGGTAAAAATTATAAAATTTCTAAAAAAAATTACTGAGCTGTATTTATATAAAATCTTAGTATCTTCTGTAATTCAGACTGATATTATCTTAATGAAAGTAAAATAATTTAATCATGAATGAAGTTACAATGTTGAGGACAAAATTGAAATATATTGCTAAAATATCATTCTAATTCCTCACTAAAATTAAACCAATGAACAAATTTTTCCTTTTATAAAAATTATATATGTTTTGGGCACCGAGAAACAACTTGCCTATAGATCTACAAATGAGAGAAGGAAACGTGAGGAGACATGATTCCTGCAGCAGCCAACCAGATCACCTCAAGGATGTCTGACTCATTTGCATTTTCCCTTGTAAGATATTTTTACACATTAGCTCGTCTGGAAACTTTCAGGCAATCATTTCTATATCGTAGACACTAACTAAAGTATTACTTTAGAATGGCCCAAACTATCAGCTATTTATCTTACATTTATAAATTGCTGTTTTAAATAATTTTGCCTTTGAGATTCATATTCTGAGATATCAAAAACATTAAAAGTAGAATATTATTTAAAGTGTTTTTTAAGTCAAATGCACAACACTTTTATAGGTTGACTTGATATTTAAATGTAATATAAAGTGGAATGTGTGTGAACATTAAGGGAATCAAATTGGTATTTTAGGTCACTTGCTAATAGCCTGTAACTAATATCTTTAAGATACTAGTTTTGGCTTTTATTTGTATCACAAGAACATTAGAAGAAAAAAATATTTCTGCAAGTTCTGAGCATACCAGAGAGCAGTGATTAACAGCAATAAGGACTATCCTCATAATGGGTTTGAAGTTTGATTCAAACACAGTTTGGTAATGGTCACAGTGCTTATGGTGGTTCACATCTTTACCTGAGTTAGTACACATGTATTTAGTAAGCATGTGCTTGTATATGTAGTGGCCAGCCATCCCATATTTTATCAAGTACATATTGTATCTGGATGGGGGCTTGTTTAAAATACCATAAAGGGAAACCTTAACTTTCTATTATTTATTTCTGTTCCCATTAAATTTATCACATATTTTGTTACTAGATGTGAAGTTTTCTTTGTATGGTTTAATTTTCCAACTGATGTGATTTGTGATAAATCTATTTTTTCCTAATCTTTTCATGCAGATTTCCTATTTTTCTCCTGGCATCTCATTAAATATTAATTCTTTTAAAAATCCTAAACTGTTTTAGTGACCAATATAATCATTTAATGAGCAATTATAATTTGATTTCATAAAGTCAACATATAAAATCATCAAAAATAGTCTTGAAAAGTACTGACTATTAACAATGTGAACATATTTAGCATTCAGAATGTGTGATTTTTGTTCAAGAGATATACAAACAAACTACAATTATGATGTTATCTTTCTGAATGTGAACAGTATTAAGAGTAAAGAAAAATACTGGCAGTTTATTATAAGCTAACACATAAAATAACACTTGATATTCATAGTAAACACTATTTGCTTTTTCTCTTATTAACAAAAGGGACAATTCTTTATGTAGCAGTTTGATACTAATCAAGAAGTTAGTAAAGTCTTTGAAAAAAGTGTACGATCAACAGATTTTAAATCAAAATGTTTATTGTAAAAAAGGACATTGAAAATTGTTTTTTTTTAAAAAAAGAAACATTGATTTCACAAGTCTTCACGTTGTTTATGCACATTAGCTATAGAAAACATCTCTCATACAAAATTCATTCAATTATATAAAAATAAACACAAATTAAATTGACTCATCAGCTATACATTAAAAAAAGGCACTTGGAAAAGGTGTTGTATGTATTGCATTTGTTGTATGCAGTCTTAAAATAGTTTAAGTACATTACTGAGTTTCTAAGAATCCTTTCTTGCACTTATTCCCATCTTTAATTAATTTTAGAAAAATCATTAAAAATTTATTTAAAAAGGAAGACATGGAGCATGCACCAGGAATGTTCAAAGCTAGTCTTTTCCTGTTCTCCTAAGGCACATACTATTTATTGGCAAAACAAAAACAAAAATACTTTTAATACATTCTCCTGTGTATTGTTCTTGTTTTTTTCCCCGCCTCTCTCTTATAAATACAGTTTAAAGGATTACAGGTAATCCCCAAAAGCTTTTGTTCAGCAATGGTAACCAGACATTAGACATATAATGAAGTAAACTTGGAATACTTTATAAGGCACCTGAGATAGATTCTCTTCCTATAGGAAATTCTATTACAAACAATTACAAAACAATACTATGCTTTTCAGTTGAAATGATTTGGCAACAATATAAATCTTTGCATTTTTTCTTAGTAAGAAAAGATACAATGTACTTTTGCTTCACCTTTGAAGAGAAAGATCCTTGTCTTTTATCCTTTCTATATAGCTGTCAGTAAATACATAGTAATTTTAAACTTCACATGGAAAGAATTATCTTTAAACACATGGATTCCATGCTTTTTTAGCTTTTAGTGTGTGTGTGTGTGTGTGTGTGTGTGTGTGTGTGTGTGTGAGAGAGAGAGAGAGAGAGAGAGAGAGGGAGGGAGAGAGAGACTATACATATTATTTGGTCAGTATGCACAAGAGAAAATGCCTTTGGACTTTTATTTATCATTTGGAGTCGGAGTGAAGAAATGCATTCTGTTTGAGTAAACATTGATTGCGTCACTCAGTGTGCTACACAGCAGCCAGATTCCTCATGTTTGTGCAGAAGAGACATTCTGGAGAAGGTTTTGGAGCAGTTTTTGCACTGGTATTTCTTTACATCAGAGTGGGTCTGCAGATGAGCCCTCAGATTTGACCTGTCTGCAAATGCTCTGTTGCAGTGAGGACAAGAAAAAGGCTTCTCCCCTGGGGGTGGAAGTGGAGATGGGAGAAAGAAAGTCAGTGTTTTTAGAAGAAATGTAAAGACAGATAACATTTATGAATAATTACATTTTACCAAAAGAATGAGAAACAGCAAAACTTGATTAAAATTCCATATAATATTTTTAATATCTCACCCTTTAAGATAAATTTGAATGTTGCATAAAAAAATCACACCAAGAATATTATTACTCTTGCCAGTCATGTAGAAATAATTCATGTAATTCTAGGACTTTCACTTATTAAAGCTTTCTGCTTCAGCAGGTGAAGCTAATATTTAGCTCCTCCCAACATTTCCCAATATTTCCCCTTTTCCCTCTTTCTGTATTATGACTAAGTCTGGATAAATGCCTTAACTCCCTGCAGAATGTGTTAGGAATTAAAAAAAAAAAAATCAGCAGCAAAAAACAAAACAACTGAAAGTAAATTTAGTTCTAACTATCCAACTTCCTGTGGGATGACAGATATCACAGCAGGAACACAGCTAACAGAAAACTATAGGAAAACCCCTTTGTTTATCAAATCAGTTGATTAAGATAGCAACATTTATATTTGCTAATTATTGGGAGCAGTTTCACAGAACACACATGCAAATATATTTTTCCTAATTTTCTAACTGATCTTTGAGACCAAATCTTCTAAATCTACTTTCTAAATTCTCAATTCTGTTTGCAGTCTCTGGAATAGAGGTTGTTAATAAGAAACAAAGCACTTTGTGCTCCAAGGACTTTTTGAGTTATCAAGAAGTAGCTATAAATGATCATCATCATTAAAAACAGTGTCATTACTCAATGCAAATCCCACAGCCAGCCTAGAGCTTCAGTCTATCAGAGAGTAACATTCCTATATACATTTTCTCTTACCTGTGTGAGTTCTAATGTGTCCTTGAAGTAACCAGGGTCTGGAAAATGCCTTGCCACAGATCTTGCAGACACAAGGTAAGGTGTGGGTCCGAATATGCATCTTAAGGGCTCCCAGGCTCACATATTCCTTGTCACAGTATTTACAGCTGAAAGATTTCCTGGACTGGGCATCACAGTGCAACTGCTTATGTTTGGCCAGCCCAGAAAAAGTTGAATAGGTCTTATTGCATAAACTGCACTGAAACTTTTCAGCTTCAATGGCATGGGGGTCTGAAAGCTTGGACTGTAGTCTTTCCTCTTCATCACTAATGGGGCTTTCTGAGCCACTGTGGTCCTTGGATGAGGTGTCAGATGGAGGAGGGGGACTCACTGGCCCCAAGGATGAGGCGTATCCGGAAAGCGGAGAGAGGCCATTGGGTAGTGGGGAGTGGAATGGAGTTGCTGTAGTCCACACAGTGATGGGGCTGTATGCTCCTGAGCTGAGGATCTCTGGTTGTGGTATGACAGGCATTGGGTAACTCTCATAGACATATGGAGAAATAATCACTGGAGGAAAGAAAAGGAAAAGAAAGAAGATTAAGGGAAACATAATTGTAAACACACACTAAGAAGCTACTTGGCAACATGTAGCGGACTTTATAATGAATAAGATAGATTCAATTGGAAGACACAGGCATTAAAATATTTCATTTCCATCCTTATTGCTACATAGCAGTTATTTTACTTAATGAACATTTATACTCCTGCATACATGTGTGACAGGAGTTATAGCCGTTATAGGCTCTGTAGTCAGGAAGAGCAGCCAAATGAATGCCTTCAGTCCCCATTGAGGAGGAAAACTTATGCTTTCCTTTTAAAGATACAGAAAAGTTGTTTTCCATTTATACATGTATTATTTGCAGGTTTTATGACTGTAAGTACAAAGATATGTGTAAATCAAGATGTTTTCTAAAGGAAAAGAGCCTTATTACATAAAAAAGCAATAATTCAACAGTTAGGTATTGTGTTACTCATCTTCCATATATTCATTATGCATGTATGTACAAGCTTTAGAAAATGAAGTTGCAAGAGTTGAATGAAGCTTTCCCTGTCAGTTAAGAATTTAAAAAGTTTTGAATTAAAATGTATCCTAAATGATCAAAAGAATCTGATTTCTCCTTTAGGACACTATTTAAAAGGAAAACGATTTAGCATTTAGTTCTTTTGTAATAGTATTTGAGTTGTAACATATATTTATATTTATATATT